AACAAAAAAAAAAAAAAGTGATGCGAACAGATTCTACACTTGACCTTTGCCTTTCGGGTAAGAAGATCACGTGAGGTATTTGTTCTGATCGGTTTGATATTTGAAACAACACTAGAATAAAAAGAAGGAAAAAAAAAATAAAATAGAGTCAGTTCTCTGTATCCTTATCCTCGACCATATTCGTCACAGTTGTTGAAGCCACTACAGCCACAAAAAAAGTGCAACTTCAAAAATATCGACGACATTGTGTTGAAAAAAAAAAAAAAAAAAAAACGCAGTACAATAAAAAGGACGAGGTATTCGTTGCGCATGGGTGCAGAGGTAGCTGCTCATCTGTTGCCAATGCACCACCCACCCACCCACCCAACCCCCCTCTTACCGATGCCCCCTTGCTACACGAAATGCTTTGTGGGACGCACACATTGTTTACTTCCTTTCACAGACTTGAGATCGGAATGCGTACCTGAGCCTGTCGGTGCGTCAAGTAAGACATGAAGTTCGAGGAAGAGCGGAAAAGGGAGAGAAGAGCGGAAGACTGAGGGGAGAGAGAAGAAGGGGGGGGGGAGGGGGCCGGCGGTTGGGCGGGGGGGATATCATTGGGACGTCATCTAACTGGCAGACTGGTTCAGACTCTTCAGAGTGAAGGGGTATCACACCAAATCGCTGCCACATCAAACAGAACTTGTACGGTCATGATAGCTCTCCGTATTTGGGGCAACTTTCAGCCTAGAAACAGCAATATACTGACCATGCGTTCTACTCCTGTGAAGACAGTAGAGCCTCACAAGATCTCTATGAGCCCTGCCGCTATGCGAGCGAGCGAGCATTGAGCACTCCTGCAGCGGCGGCAGGTCGACTGCCTCAAAAACCAGACCTTGTGGCCCGCTATCGACTCCACCACCATGATCTGGGCAGTGGGGGGGGGTTGACAGGTTGGCCCACAAGGTTGTTTTATGGCCGTAAATGAGGCCAGATGCATCCAGCGAAACACAACATTGGGCCGCGATGACCCGTCGGCCCACAAGGTTGTTTTATGGCCGTAAACGAGGCCAGATGCATCCAGCGAAACACAACATTGGGGGGCGATGACCTGCCCACACCGATCTCCCCTGAAAACTTCTGCTGCCCTGCTCTTGCCGGCTGACAGCAGCAGAGCCGCGGCACCTTCACCACCGGTCCAGAGGCAGTACAGGCTCGTTCATCAAAATGGGTTCAGAGGCCCTGGCGGTTTACAGAAAATCTGGAGACCACGATAGAAAAGCCCACGGGGGGGGTGGGAGGCGGCAACAGAAAACACAGACTTTCTCCACTGCGCGAAAGGCAGGGAGTGAGGAGAGGGAGAGGAGGAAATGGGAGAAAACACAGAGGCGTTCTCAACTGCGCGAGAGGCAGGGAGCGAGGAGAGGGAGAGGTGGAAATGGGAGCATGGACGAGAGAATCCTCACCTGAAGATGTACTTGCCATACCCATGCTTCGCTCCCCACTGAAACTCGCCGATGTATCTGCTACCATCCGCACACGTCTGCATTCCTATCCCATGACTCTGACCCTTGGACCATTCGCCGGCATACACATCGCCGGTGTAAAACCGATACACGCCATACCCGTCGCGGAGACCTTGCCTGTACTGCCCTCGATAGCGACTGCCCCTCGACCACGTTTCGACGCCGTTGCCATCGTACTTCCCATCAACCCATTCACCCTCGTAGCGACCACTCATAGCAAAATAATACACCCCACAACCCGAGCATTTCCCCTGATAAAATTCCCCTTCGTAGCGATCGCCGTTGGTGTACGTATGGACCCCGCTGGCGGTTGCCCGGATGGACCGTGGTGTAGAGCTCAAAGTGGTGGCCACTCCCCCCGAGTCGCTCCCACTGCCGCTGCTACTCGAATGAGGAATGCTGCCGTAGTCCGCTTTGCACAACGACAATTTCCCCGCCTCCTCCGCCCCGCCAGCACCACCCCCCCCACTGCCGTTCCTCCGCAACACAACTGGCAGCAAGTGCAACCCCTTGGGAGTCATCACAATCGTTCTGGTGAAGGACGACCCCGAGGACACCCGAAGCATTAGCACCCGCAGGTACGGCACCGCCATCCGACATGCTAGAACCGCTGCAAAAAAGCACGCCAGAAGGATAGCAAATTCCAACCAGCTCTGTCCCGCCGACGCTTCCGAAGGGTTCAGGAGGTCTTTCCACGTGGGTTGATCTCCTGCTCTCATCACAAACCAGATAAAGATGCATACTGCAACAAGGACAAGTGGCATGAACGACGACAACGACGCCGCCTCGAGCAGCCGCCGGTCTCTGGCACTTTGGGTCGATGACCCCTGCGCGGAAACCGAAGGGGACCCTCCTCCGTACGCAGGGGTCACCGGTCCTGCCGCTGCTAGACCACAGATCCCGACCGTCACCGTCTGGGATCTGATCAACGACGACGAACTCCTTCCCAGCATCGACGGAGGCTTCATTCCCGCCCCGCCCCCCGACCCACCCCCCGACCCACCCCCATCTGCCCTCTGCCCCACAATCAGACCCCCTTCCCATATCCGATGCGGATCTTGTCTCACACTGGAACCCCTCAGTCGCGGACTCTGTATTGATGATAATATCGATATTGTCGCATCCCGCATTGCCCCATCCCCCGCACCGCACTCCTGCTGTAGACTCGAGCCTCCTCCACTTGCCGCCATGAGATACCATGCCTTGCTTTGCCCCCCTGCACAGTATTCAACCCCCTCTCCCCCTATAAAATCGAAAACAGATTCAGAATCACAAGAATGCTCTGTTGCCCGTCATTTTCCACTTCAACACCCCCCTCACCCTTACCCTGCTGCCGCCACCCAACATCCCCCCCCCCCCCCCCCCCCCCCCCCCCCCCCCCCCCCCCCCCCCCCCCCCCCCCCCCCCCCCCCCCCCCCCCGGGCCACCCTCCCCGCCACCCCCCGTATCCCCTTCCCCACAGCGAATGGGCCTTCTTCGCCACAGACAAGAACACACACCCACACCGCAGTCCCCAACACAACCCTCGCTGAAAAGCCACAAACCGAAGAGCCGCTCAATTACACATCATCAGCCAACGACGCTCCCACACAAAGTCTCGACGATTACGCCACCGACAACGCCGCCCAATGATGTCCAGCAACGTTCGTGCACCCGTACTGACCACCTCCTTCAGGGCTCACCCATGCGGAGCCCCCGTCACGTCCCCAAGACCACAAGACATGAGTGCGCCATGGAACTCTGCTTGCCGCAATGCATGACAACTCCACGAAGTCGCAGGACGCTCTGCTGCACCTACAAGTCGCCACAAAACCACCATATCTACTTCAATACTTGAGAAAATGAAAGAAAATGAATGTCGTCCATCCTTCTGACAAATTCCAACACAGGCCATCATAAGTCTGAGTCGGCACATCATCCCACCCTTCCCTTTCTTTGTGCGTGTGTGCATGTGTCATGCATGCGACACACCGAGTCTCACTCAGAACAGTTCACGATCCCGACCGACACATCTCAATCCCAACATGTGTCAAAAGTCGTCAAAAGTCAAACAGACCGTACAGAAATCTGACTCAGAGCTCGTTTCAGCCAACCTATCACTCTGTCGAGAGACCAGAGACGGAGGGGGAAGAAAAAAAGAAAGCTGAGATCAGAAACGAACCACTCCACACAACTCTGAGTCTCTGTCTCTAAGAACAGTCCGGGATCCCAACCGACACGTCTCAATCCCGACATGTGCTAAGAGTCAAACAGACCGTACAGAAGTCTGACTCGGCTCGTTTCACTCCACTGATCACCGGGTGCAAGACCAGAAACGGCAAAAAAAAAAAAAAAAAAAAAAGGGATAAAAAAGAAAGTCGAGACCAGAAAGTATCTCGGCGGGTACCAGCCACTGGCCACGAACTCCACCTGCATCAGCTTGAGGTTCTTCCTTTCGATGACGGAGGCAGGACGTTTCTGGTTCCCTGTCTCCGGGGTTGCACGTTCTTCCAGATTTTATCTATCTTGGTTAGCCTGGGGTTAATTCCTTGGCTTTCGCATAGTTATTCTTTTGATTAAGTTCATTTTCATTTCTATATGAGCATCATCTTCCCCCCCTCCTTCCCCCTCTCTTAAAATTCCGTATGGCCTTCTGCAACATTCCAGCCGAAAGCCAGACTAGATTCATTTCACCAATTTGAATTAGCTTTAAAAAAAAAAAAAAAAAAAAAAAAAAAAAAAAAAAAAAAAAAAAAAAAAAAAAAAGACTAACCTCACTGATGGCATGTCGCAAGCTTCCACCTCAGTACTTAGAAAAACCTGGGCACAGAAAACATGTCCCGATGACAGAGACACGCGACCACGTCATATAAATACCAATTAATACAACCAAAAATGCACCAAAAAAGATTGGGAAAAAAAGAAGACAGCGAAAGAAATTAAAATAGACAAAAAGGGATTCAACAACGGCACCCTCTCTTTTCTACGCTTTTTTATTTCTTATTTAAATTTTTAATTTTTCAATACCGAAACCTTCTTTTCTCGTTTCTTCTTTTTTCAAAAATTCTTTTTCTATTTTTCCTCTTCTTTTTTTCACTTCCTTTTTTTTTTTTTTCAGGATTCCCACTGTGTTGTTGAGATTCAGCGTCAGCAAGTGTTTTTTTTTTCCTTCTTTATTTTAATAAGGGCGTCATCTTCTAGCTGATCCGCCCCACGTAAATTCAGAGTAATGTCAACTCATCCGGTCCCATTGGGACTCTAACTCAGGTCTGCTTTTTTTCACCTTTTTTTTTACTTTTTTTTTTTTTTTGCAGGATTCCCACCGTGTTGTCGAGATTCAACGTCAGCAAGTGTTTTTTTTTTCTTTTTTATTTTAATAAGGGCGTCATTTTCTAACTTATCCGCCCCACGTAAATTCAGAGTAATGTCTACTCATCTAGTCCCATTGGGACTCACTAAATATACCATAAGTGGTAATTTGGCTTTTTGGCTTGGAAGTCTTTCTGTATTTTTGACTTCTTATTATTCTTTTCGTTTAACTCAGGTCTGCATTTCAACAGTACACAGGTGTACCAACTGAGTTAAGCCATTTGGTACTGAGTTAGGCTCGTGGGCGTTTTTCTTTTCTGGTACTCACGCCAGTACCTTGTACACTGGGACGCTAAGGGCCAGATCCCACTGGCAAAGAGGATTGGAATAAGCCTCTGAAACTGGACGTGTTCGTGGAGAGGTGCAAACAGTTGTGATTGAACTGCTTTTCTGCATCTCTGTGTAGAACACGTCCAGATTCAAACTCTTATTCCACTGCTTTTCTGCTTGTGGGTGTTTTTCTTTTCTGGTACTCACGCCAGTACCTTGTACAATGGGACGCTAAGGGCCAGATCCCACTGGCAAAGAGGATTGGAATAAGCCTCTGAATCTGGACGTGTTTGTGGAGAGGTGCAAACAGTTGTGATTGAACTGCTTTTCTGCATCTCTGTGTCCAACACGTCCAGATTCAGACTCTTATTCCACTGCTTTTCTGCTCGTGGGTGCTTTCTTTTCTGGTACTCACGCCAGTACCTTTGAACACTGGGACGCTAAGGGTCTCGCGGCACGGTACACAAAACAAAAACGAAACGAGTGAATCTGCCCACGAAAGGTGGCAAAATACAGTCGTTACTATTTATAGCAAACCGACGAACCTGGCCATTTTTTTTTTATTTTTTTTTTTAAGGCTAATTCTTTGAAGCCCAACCAATTCAATTACCTGTCAAATCTGGACAGGACGGCCTTTCAGGCCTTTTTTATTGTCATTGTAGTATTACGGGGAAACAAGTAGCAGCCACATCCATGCTCAAGCCTCCAACGAGGGAACCTGGCCATTTTCTGCAGGAAGATGCACTCGTTCCGTTTTTCGTTTCCTGTCCCGTGTGGCACACAAAACGAAAACGAACCGAGTGCATCTGCCCATGAAAGGTGGCAAAATACACTCGTTACTATTTATAGCAAACCGACAAACCTGGCCATTTTCTGCAGGAAGATGCACTCATATCGTTTTTCGTTTGGTGTCCCGTGCGGCGACGCCCTAAGTCACAAAAGAATCTTCTTCCGAAGAAGTCCGAGGCCGAAAAACAGAAAACCAAAAAAAAAAAAAAAAAAAAAACACTAACAACTTCGAATTCGCCGACCTCGGGGAAGGCCCTCACACGAGTGCTTTGAGGAATGAATCTGGCCACTATGTGAGGAACGTGCTTGCTGTTGGGTTTTGTTTTTTTCTGACCTTTCTTTTCCTTTAGGTGCCCTGCCAGCGAGGCAGCGCAGGGCGTATTCCTTACCGGGCAAGTACCTGCCTCACTCACAAACATCATACTCACACCACTGTCTTAACCCAAAAAAAAAAAAAAAGGAAAAAAAAAACCAAAAAAAAAGTATGTACACCTTGAAAAAACGCTAAATTTTCTTGAATAGAACGTACGGTCGAATATAGCGTACGTACGTTGTATTAGAATATTTGGCAAATTTCAATTTTTCGAAAAAATCATGAAATCCCCCCCCCTTAAAAAAAAAAAAAAAAATTGTACAATATTGTTGCAATAACAAACGACTCTTTTACCTGAGGGTGAGGTCCCACTAGCAAAGAGGATTAGATTGAGCTCCTGAATCTAGATTCAGGCATTCAATCCAATCCTGTTTGCTAGTGGGACCTCGGCCCTGAGGACCATGTCGAAATTCACAACCGAACTCGAGAAGAAAATAAAAACAAGAATAAAAATATCTTATTAAGTTATTAGGGCATTTTGAAGTGCGTTCTGATTCCTTAAGAATTTCCGATCTTTAACAAACAAAAAAATTATTTAAAAAATCCCCAAAAAAACTATGTTGCACAAAATTGCTATACAAACAACTTTTGCCCGAGGGTCTTGGAGAAAATCCCAATTAAATTCGGGAAAAAAAAAAAACACACGTCGGTACAACAGGCTCCTTCAAAGTTGTACCCTAAAACTCATTGTGCCCGACGGTCTTCCGGAAAATCCCAACCAAATTCGAAAAAAATAAAACAAAATGACGACGATCAAACACACACACACACACACACACACTCAGAGAGAGCAAGTGTACGAATCTAGGTTCTGACCTCTCTCTCTCTCTCTCTCTCTCGTGATTGTATCGGTTACCTAACCTGTACGAGATCGAACGTGGAAGGGTGGCTTCGAAATAAATCACAAATCAAGGAAGTGACTCATCAATCACTTCTGTAGACAGATCTACCGAACCGGCGGGATCTCCAATCACACGATCAAACAAACGAGCAAACCTTTCGACCAATTACCCAATCAACTAATCAACCAAACCAGTAAATGTAAATCGATCAACCGCCCAACCGCCCAATCAATCCGTCAACCAATTCACCCCTCATCAATTCCTCCATCCATAAATCAATCAATCAATCAATCAATCAATCAATCAACCAGTCAATCAATCAATCAATCAATGTCAACCAGTCAATCAATCAATCAATCAATGTCAACCAGTCAATCAATCAATCAATCAATCAATGTCAACCAGTCAATCAACCAACTAAATCGTCAAGCAATAAGTAAACCAATGACTCAATCAATCAATCAGTCAATCAATTAGCCAATCAATACATCTATCGCTCGACAGAATCACACATACAAACGAACGATTTCCAAAAAAGAATAAATTTTCGGCGAGCACAATTTTTTTTCAACCCCTGCAGTCTGTTGTTAAGGATCCATTTAGTTTTTTAGACCCCGTTAACATAGTAAAAAATTCAAAAAAAAAAAGTTATTTTATTCGGATGTTAAAAAAAACAAGACGAAGTAGGAATTTTGACGTTATTAAAGTAAATGAAAAAGTGAAAAAAGGTAGTCCCGTTTTTTCCCCCCATGTCCTTCTTTTTGGGGGGGTACACGGGGAGTAGGGAAGGTAACTAGAGAATACACTGTACCTAGTCACGGCCAAAGAGAATGCACCCATCACCTTCGCCTTCACAGCTCAAGAGAATACACTGTACCTAGTCCCATTTCGCGTTCTTGGAGTTCCTTATCTCAGTCTTCTCTCTCGTGTCATTGGTCGGTTTATCCAGTCCCTTTTCCCCTGGTACAGTGTATCAAGTCCCTTTTCGCCTAATACAGTGTATCTAGTACCTTTTCGCGCGTTTTGGGCTCCCTTTCACGCCCACATCGCGCAGGTGATGGGTGCTCCTGAATGCATTTGCCGCCTAAGAGAACACGGCAAATTTTTTTTTTTTCGTCTTGTCTTTTTCTTGCTTTCTTCTCCTTGCCATTGTTTTTTTTTTTTTTTTTTTTTTCCCTTTTAGTTTTCGTTTTTTCGCTTTTCCCTTTTCCGGGGGGGGGAGGGGGAGCGAGGAAGGGAGGAACAACACGGTCTTTTCGCATCACACCTTCAAGAAAGTCATTTTATATAAATACCTATCTATCTATCTATATATCTATCTATATATTGTCACATTGTGAATCAGAGCGCAAA